GGGGGAGGAGGGAGGAGGGCGGGGGCAGAGGGCGAGGCGAGGCGAGAACACAGACGCCTGCCTGCCAGCCTGGCGCGCCCCTCTCCCCCTCACACTCCCCCTCTCACCGCTCACCCTCTCTCTCGCAGCACGCCAGGGCCCCCACCCTGCTCCTCCCTAACCCCCGCCCCCAGCAACGCCGCCGCGGCCGCGAGGGGGGCGTTCGGTCGCCGCCGATACCCCATGCACCCATGCCGTGCCGCCCGCCGTACAGTCCGATTCCAGACAATCAGACAATCACACCCCAAAAATGACAATCGTAACATCCTTCCATACTTACTGAACCAGCCTGATGGTTGACGGGGCATAATCAACCACTAACATTGCCATCAAAAATATTTGAATAAGGTTAGATGTTTTTAGATGAGAGTCACATTGTTTTGCGTTCGCGGGGACATTTGGCCATTGGCCCCACAACAACAACCGCTGCTCGTGTCCAGGTCGGCACCATTGACCGGGTTTCTTTCACGAAATGGACGCGCCCGGTCGGTCACTCTCGCCTTCCGTCCGAAATGTCGACGGCGGACAGCGCAGAGACGATCAATCAGGGAGTGGCAGTGCAGGCGGGGCAGTAACGCCTCGTCGGCCACGCGCCCCGGCCAGGCCCGGGACGTACGTCACGTGACGTCACAATGGACAAGGCGCTGGCAGGACAGTGTCTCCCCGCCGTCCCTGCGCCTGCTTTCTACAGACCGGCTCTATTCTCATCCGATCCCCCATCGGCTGGGCGCATCTAAGCGGACGGCGGGGCGGGACGGGGCGGAGAGGGGCGAGGCGGGCGTGCATCAAAGGGCGGGGCGGGGCGCGACGCCGGCCGCGGAGCCCTGCGGAGCTGAGAGGGTATTGACCGTCGGCCGTGCCGCGGCGACCCGCCCTTCGGTCCGCGGAACCACCCAACCTCCCCCCGACTCTTTATTTTTTGAAACTTCCGTGACCTGTTTGTGTTAGTCGGGCTGGCAATGCGAACTTGAAACGCTGGAGGCCAAGCCTCCGAGTTTGCATCTGGCCGTGGACAAGGTCATACGGAGCGTTTCCTGCGTTCAAGTTGCCGGACGGACGCCCCGCTGCTCGACGTGGTGCCCGACCCCGACGCTCTGCACCTCCTGGGAGCCCCGGGCCCCGCCCCCAGGACGCAGACGCGGAAGCATTGCAGCGCCAGGCCGTGGGACCCAACTGCAGTGGGAGCAGGGGGGAGGGCTGTGCACCTCCGCGTCGCACCACCCCCCGCTGCGCGCAGCTGTTCACCGGTCTGTGACCACATTAAAGGCGGCGGCTTCATTTAAATTTCCCTCCATTACGCCGCCCGGTTGGCTGCTGCTGCTCTATAGAAAGCACGA